TTAAAAATTATTGCATAGATATTTTTAACAAAAGATGGAACAGTTTTAATATGGACATTTATTTGTTGGCATATTTTCTTCACCCAGGTTATCGCGGTATGTTATATTTTTAGAGTTTAATAAATTATATATATTTAGCTAATATAATTTTTTATTTTGGTAGGTGCTGGATTACGTGAAAAGCAATTTCATAAAATTGCACAAACTGCAATCCAAATATGGAAATGCGAAGGATATGATCTAAATGAATGTGCAAATCTTATTGCATATATGCGATTGTTTAAAGAAAAAAAGGACGGATTTGACTTGCCATATAGTTTTGAGAAAGATACTCCTTTGTTATGGTGGATGACCAATTATACTGGTTCCAAATCTATTGGAAAACTTGCAATCAAGATTTTTTCAATTACACCACACTCTGCAGACTGTGAAAGAACATTTTCATCATTGGGCTGGATATATAGAAAATGGCGATGTTGACTTTCTTTATCATGAATTCAGGCAATAGCTCAAATTCGATCTTTTTATGTTTCAAATATAAAAAGAGAACTTGCATTTTTTGGTAAAACAGTATCAGCGAATGAATTACAAGAACAAGTAGCATCAGCAACTTTTTTAGTTGAAGAAGATGAACGAATAATTGAGGAACTTGAAGTAGAAGAAGAAGTTGAATGTAATTTAGAAATTATTGAACATTTTGACATTGAAAATATAGTATACTTAAATGATGAAATGTTTCGTGATAATGATTCTGACAGTTATAGTGAAGATTTTCAAGATTATAGTGCTAAAGAATATGGTGATGATGAATTTGACTGTGATGAATTCATTAGTAACAAAACAGGTCAAGGTATACTTGATTTTGATCCTGCAGAATTAGCAGAAAATTTAGTAAGAGAATGGAACTATGAAAACAATAGTAGTAGTATTGATAGCGATTTAGACAAAACAGATGATACAGACGAAAGTAGTAAGAATGTAAATGCTATAGAGAATGAAAATAATGAGGATGAAGACATTAGTGAGAGTTCAAATATTATAGAGAATGAAAATGAGATTGTAAAATCTTTACCTATAGCGCTTAGAAAAACATGTCGTAAAAGTTTAAAGAGATAATAATCGTAGAATCTTATTGTAACACTTGGAAAACATGTAAAAGTTTAAAAAAGATAATAAATAAAGCAATACATTATCTTTTTATAGAGCAATTTTTTTTATTTTTATGTATTTATAGTTTCGTCAACAATTTTGTCAATCATCAACGGTTTCGTCAATCGTTGATGATTTCGTCAATCGTCAAAGTTTCGTCTGGTATATAATTTGACGAAACCTTTTGTCAACTCAAAAATCCTTTCGTCAAGCATCTTTAGACCCAATACGGTTATACATTTCTCCATGTATGCAAAAATTATAAGGGCCTCTAGTTCCAGCTAATTGATCATCAATTTTAGCCCCCAATGAAGTGAAAGCTAAAGCCGAATTGTAAGCCCGTATTTTTTGACAAAATTCTCTTGATCAGGTGTCAGTGCTTGTTAAGTAAGCCTTTAATAACGCTGGCAAGTTCTGAAGGCTTGGTAATGTTGCAAAAACAGGTAAATGTTTAGATAAACCTGCGCATCTTTTATCAATCCACATTAGTGCACCACAGTGAATACATGAAACATCCATATTTTCAAGGCTATGGTGCTGTAGTCGAATTGAAATAAACGGATGAACGTGGGCTTTTGGAACAAGAAAAGTTGTATTGGGCAAATTATTAGTTGAAACACCATCATGGACGATCGAAAGGCCTGATAAATTTTCAGAATGTAATTGAGAAGAACTTCTAGTAAAGATGGGAAATGTAAAAATGTTATTTTGGTTAGTAGAAGACGAAGAATAAAATTGAACTTCTTGTGGTTGACTAAAATCAGTTGTAAGAATATTAGTAGTAGAATGCTTAGAAGATCGGGCTTTTGATTCTCTGCACTGTTTTTTGCATCTCTCTTTCTGTTCTTCACTTTGTCGCACAGCTAATTCTCTTTTTAATCTGTGGCAGTGTTCAATAGGTGTTTCAGGTGTACAGAAATCCATAGTAATAACAATAATATAACAAATAATATAATACTAAAAACATTATATAACTATTTTTATAAATTATGCTCAAAAAGTCTAAAGAAAAAAATCCGAAAGAGCAAAAATAACGTGGTAGAAATGCCTATATATAAGTTTAAAAAAAAAATAAAAAGAAAAATAGACTTATAGTGAAGCACGTGTTAGGACAACATCTAAGAATTGAATCACAAGTTTGTACAATATCTATGAAGTGAATTACAGGGTTGTGTCACAATATTGTAATGAATTATGTATCTGTGTAACAATCAATATAAAATAGTTATAGATCTACGAAAAAAGTTACATGAATATGCAATGTCCGCTTACCGTGCAGAAGTTCAGTTTTTTTAATACTGTAATATATAGAATAGATTTGGGTGATCGACATCTATATGATAGGCCTATGTCTAATAGTAAATAAGATAGTTGTGCGATGCTGTTGCACTAAAACCAGGAATGTAGATCTTGAACAATTAGTATATCATAAGGTTTTTTGATCAGACATCAATCAAAAAAAAAATGAAGGAATCATTCGTGCATACTATCATGAAACAGAATAACATTATTACGTTGTAATTTATCAATTTGATTTTGATTGTAGACAATTAAAAATTTAAGGTTGACAATAATTGTTAATGTAATTACTAATCTTTAAATATTGTCACATCGGGATTACAATTTCGGAATACTGATGTAAGATTTTGTGGCAAAACCGACAGAGTCATGTTAGAGTTACTTTTTTGATCAGTTAGTATTATTATTTATTTATAAATATCAAGAAACAATCTATGCGATATGTAGGTAAACCTGGTTTTAATAGACTTCCCAAAAAAGCAAAGATTGATATAAAATTTTATTATACGATTACTATATCCAATCAGAATCAAGATTTTGTGTATGAATGCAAAACTTGAATTGAACCATCCACTTCGCTCTACTACATTCCTGGTATTGCAATGGTAGACCTTTTTTAAAAGCCATTTTCAGGGGTTTCTTAAAAGGAAACTGCACTAATAAGACTAGGTATAATGGTTTAGCTATACAAATACTTTGTAAATTTGTAGTTTTAACCGGAAACAATAATAAAGCTAAGAAGAATCACACCTTTATAAATAGCCTTTTGTTTTATTTTTGTATATATATATATAGTACTTGCAATGCAACAGATTCTTCTTGCTTTGAAGCTTTTTAAGTAAAACTTTGTTTACTTGCCCAAGATTATGAACTTTAAGAAATGTTAAAAAGAATTACAGCTTTCAAGTATAACTCATAAGAAGGCATGTACTTTACACTTAAAAAATGTAGTCATAATTATCTTCGAAGTTTAGAATTATTATAGTGTAGATTTGTTTATTCCCAAATCCCAACTCTGACTAACTAAATATCTTAAAAGCTTTATTAATAATCTTTATTTAAACAAATAGTACTGTCGGCCACTACATATAATATTTTTTACTAGCCTGTTTTTTAAACAAGATCTGAGATATAATTATATTGATTTACTACTTTTAATATAATATATTCTCAAGAATTGTACCTGGTCCTTCACAATACCATGGATACTATTTAATTTTAAAGCAAAATTCTTGAATAAGATCTGAATATTGTATACAGTAGTCTATAGTATACAGTATATTTATATATAGCTATTTGCAAAATATTTCTTTTTGGAGATTAAGATTTGTTCGAGTTTTGTCAGCTAGTCATAATATTTAAACAAAAGATCTATATTGTACAATTCAATCATTAATTATAAAATAAAATTAAACCAATTTTAAGCTTTTAATTGTTTTATTAGATCTGAATTCAATATTTGAATTAATAAAAATATATATATAGAGGGTTTTAGAATTAATGTATAAAAATTTTAACAGAAATAAATAATATATTTATTTTCAAATGAGTGATATATAGATTTTATTTTATTTTCTGATAAATTTGTAATAATGATTTTTGTCATTGAAAAGTCATTAAATAAGGGTCTCTAAATACTCCTATTTCATTTTCTGATTTCAAAATTTTGATATATATATAAGTACTACTAAAAACCTGCAATTTTGGTTCTGCTTTTCAAAAACAGTGATTAGATTCCTGATAAATTATAATAAATTCTATAATAAATTCTATTTAATAAATTATATGTTTCAGAGTATTTATATCCCAAACTAAGTTTATATATATAATAATTGTGCATGTGTAAGCAATTCAATAAGATCTGCTATTGCTATTTATATTTATTAAAGCAAATATATAAATTACATTAAAAATATATATAATTTTGCATTATAATGTTTATTGTATCTATCGCTATTATTTATTTGTTAATATATGCAATTAATTATATCTAATTATTAATCTTTATTATAGTCAATAATACCCACATTATACCAGATCTTTAAGCAGAAACATATTTTTCAGACAACCTATTATGTATTAGATTAATTGTATTTTTTGCATTTGAAAATATTTTATACTTGTTGCTTGTATGATCAAGTAGCTCCTTGCTATTCTTGAGAGCCCAGAATAATATATATGGCTAATTGTATTTTCCAGAAGTTCAAGCAATTACAATTTTTCTTAGCGGACATAAAGTACTCTTCAAGAAAATTGAAAGTAGTTTTCAAACTTTTATTATGATATTTTCTAAAGTAATTTTTGAAGTATCACAAGTATCTTTAGTAATAAACAAGTCAAATTCTTTATATTATGAATAAAACTATTGAGTAGTTTATGCACAAGTTTTGGCATTTCACTTTTGAATGAAGATAATTTCATAGCTAGGTTTAATGCAACTGATCTATTTAATTTCAAAGTTTGCAATATTGTTTACCACCAGTTTTGGTAAGTTTGTTTTAAAAAGTGCTCTTTTTAAACATTTTGAAGAATAGTTTGTTATTTCTATAAGTGTTCTAGAATCAAGTATATTTTGAGACATCAAACTTGAAAAGGTAGTTTAATTGAATTAATAAAGTGTTCAACTGTATTTTCTTTATCCATCGAATAGTGAAATTTAGATAAAAAAAAATATATATATAAAAAAAAATAAAGTTGCATCTTTATTTTTTCAAAAATTAAAAAGATTAATTATCATCATATTATGTCACAATAAATTTTAATTTAAAAAACAAAACTCCAGAAAACTATTTGTTCATCATAACGATAGTAATTAAAAGTTTAAATTTACTTACAAATTAAGACTAATTGTCATTATCACGCTACAATAAATTAATTATGAATCAAGCATTTTGCTTATCTGATCAATTTCAAATTTGGTTAGCGTATGAGGAGTTTAAATCTAATAATAAAAATCATATGACCAAAAACTTGAGCTTTATCAGGTTTAGGCCCAAACAGAAGCCAAACTGAGTTCAGGCAAGCAGAATAATATCTCTAATATTTATCCAATACCTTGTTATGAAAACTATTTCATATATAAGTAGTGCAATCTCGATAATTTTGATACATATATGCAAATGTTAAGATATATAAATATGATATGAAACTTCCTTATTAATATGACAAAATTTAATAAGAAAGCACTGTTAATAACAAATATGAAAATGTAAAATACTAGTATGGATAAGATTTTTAGACTTTATTTTATAGCATCTAGCTATATCTTTTTCCATATCTAATAATATACTTTGCAGAAACCTAGGTATTTTGCTAAATATTTTTGTAATATAATTATTATATATTAACTAGATAATTACAATATTATTAAAATTAAATATAATAAATATAAAAGATATATATTAAAAATATTTTAATTATATTATAAAAATATTTTTTAATTTTATTAAGTAACTCACAACTAAGTAATTAACATAGAAATATAATTATAATATGATTATTATATTATAAAATATAAATATAGTAAAAATATTATTAAATATAATAAAAATATAACAAAAAATAACAAAAATATAATAAAAATAGGAGATTTCTATTTGTACCCGACAGGTATTACCTACTTAGTGATCATGTGACAAAAATTATATGCACAATATATAGTATGTATGTACGTATAGCGAACTCACTCTATAACAGATAAATAAAACCTAGATATTCTACACATGTAATATTTCAAACTCAGTAAAACCATCGCTAATACCAAGAAATCTCAATAATTTTATTTTATTTTATATCTACTTGGATTAGAAATAGAATACATATATATTAATTAAGGTGAACTATAAACTTCTTTAAAAATGATTAAGAACGAGTATAATAATCTGT